GGGCACTATGACTTGGTACCAACTCGATGGCGCCTAACAACAACAACTACGTAAAATACAAAGGCAATATTTAAGCATAGGGTTTGGCTAGGTTCCTTCAATGGCTAGGTTATCATGTTAAGTTAGCACTTTATTCTTGTTACTTCCTGAATGAGGAATATTATGAGGAGGGTGGGAGAAATGTTTACAACCATATTGTATAACTTAAACTGTATGTAATAAGTAATTCTCTAACCTCGAGGATTCCTGGTATAGTGCTGTAGAATTAATGTGCTGGACTGCAAGGTCGCTCTGAACTACAAGGTCAGCAGTTCAAGCTCACCAGCCTCTCCTCAGAAATCCTACATAGGTTCGCTTTGAGTTGGAGCCAACTCAAAGTGCTTAAAATCATAATATCATCAACTTCTATAAGGGCTTCATAAAGTACTGCAAATCATAGAATTATTACTTTCTTTTCATTTTAGGACTATGAGAAACGGTTACGAGACCGAAATGTAATTGAAACCAAAGATCACATAGATGCCCATCGGGCTGTGGTAGCCAAGTACCTCCAGCAGGTAAGAAAAATCATTTTTAAAATAGCTATCACTCCAAAATAGGGGTTTCCTTACTCATAAGTGTGTACCACTATTTGTCCTTCAGTTTGTTGTACTGTGTGTGGCTTATGTGATGATGTGATGCTGAAAGCTATGCCAAAGGTGTTTCAAATACCAGCAGGGTCACCTATGGTGGACAGGTTTCAGCTGAGCTTCCAGATTAGGGATAAGAACCTTCTGAAAAAAAACTGGTCACTGAAAAACTTGTGGCAGCAGAACGTTTGTCTGACACAGTGCTGAAAAAATGAGCCTTGCAGATGGGAGGCACTCAAAATATAACTGGGAAAGAGCTGTCTCAACAAAGGGCTCGAATTTAACAAGTGTGAGGATACCATAGGACTGGACAGTGTTTCCTTCTGTGGTACTTAGGGTTGCGATGAGTTGAAGCTGACTTGATGACACCTAACAACAACATGGAGTCCTGGGGTGGTGCTGTAAGATAGGCACTGGACTGCTAACACGAGGTTGATGGTTCAAATTCAAATACATAACAATTAAACTCAATTTTCACCTTTCAAACATGCGAAACCATTCTAATGCATCCCAGATTATTATTGGGGGTTATCTTCATTGGGGCAAGATTATGAAGAAGTCTGCTTCTCAAACTTCTTTTGATACTTGAATCACAGTACCTATGTCATCAGAAAGAAAAAAAAATGTTTTTAAACCACATGCTACCAGCCCTTTTGTTGTTAAGTGCCATCGAGTCGGTTCCAACTCATAGCAACCCGGTACAGGGTTTCTGAATCTTTGCAGGAACAGAAAACGTCATCTTTCTCCCTTGGAGCAGATGGTGGGCTCAGTCTGCGAACCTTGTGATTCACAGTCCGGTGTGTATCCTACAGAACCTGCTCTTATGCACTAGAAAACTCAAAGTTGAAAATGTCCTGTATTTGCCTTCCTTTCCTCATTTGACCTTTATTTAATAAACTGAATTTGCAAGCCATGTGACAATGATTATGAGATATTTTCCCCATCTGGTTGATATACTCTGTAGCTCATGTATAAAAAAAAAACCAAACAATTGATGATATTCACATTCTTTGGGCATGTTACCAGAAGGCACCAGTCCCTGGAGAAGAATGCCGTGCTTAGTAGACCGCCAGTGAAAAAGAGGAAGACCCTCAACAAGACAGACTGAAAAACAGGGGCTGAAAGAATGGGCTCAAACACATCAATGGGCTCAAACTGGCACAGGACCAGACATTGTTACATTCTGTTGTACATCAGGTCCCTGTGAGTCGGGACTGACTCCATGGCATCTAACAATACCACCACCAAAGAATAATTAGGAAGTGGGTCTGTCTAGATAGGAAGAGAAGTTGACAATTAGCTCTAGACTGTGTGTGCTTTGAGACTCGCCCTATTCTTTTCTAGTTGTTAATTTAACAAAATGGCATGACCTTTCCAGACCCTGATGTTAGAACAGTAAAGAAAACAGAAAATAAACACCTTCAGAAGCTTGTAGTGGATCAAAGAGAATGCAAGAGTAGATTTTTGCAGTAGGAGGAGGTGGCTGTACTATGGAGAAAGAAAAGCTGGGTAAAGGAATGGGGAGCCTTAGGCAAAGAGTTGAAGTTTAGGGAGTGAATCCTGAAGTTTATAGAATAACAACATGTGAATTAATGCGCTGGACTACAAACTTGGTTTTAACCACAAGATTGGCGGTTCAAGCTCACCAGCCACTCCTTGGAAACCCTATACAGGTCCCTATGGGTCAGAACTGGGTCGACAGTGCTTAACAATAACAATAAAATAAAATTTATTTCTTTCCCCAGGTTCGAGAATCGGTGATAAATCGTTTCCAAATTGCCAAACACCACTTCCTTCTTTCTGATCTGATCATAGAAGAAGAAGTTCCTAATATCAGGTAAAAACAAACCCTATTTTGTTATAAAAAATTGTTATTTTTATCATAGGGAAGATAAGGAGCCCTGATGGTAAGGTGGTTCAATGCCCAGATGCTAACTGAAAGGTCAGCAGTTTCAACCCACCAGTGGGTCTGCGGAAGAAAAGACTTGGTGATCTGCTCTCATAAAGACAACAGCCTAGGAAGCCTTGTGGACCTGTACTACCCTGCCCTATCAGGTTTCTGTGAGTCAGAATCGACTCAATGACACACAACGTCAGAGATGCCATATAATTAAGATTTTCCTCGTTATATCATAGAATAATGCTGGAGACCTCGTAAAAGCCTGGTTACTGTCACAAATACGTTAATGGGAGAGTTCTTTTAGAAAAAGTCGTCCTCAGTTCCCTCCCCTCCATCACTTTCGAGTCAGGATCCATTTCTCCCATCACTGTTTCCAAGCAAATATCACGAGCTTAGACCATTTCTCCTTAACACCATGCTGCTTCGCAGCTTAAATGCCACAGCCATCCCCTGCACATGCCCCTCCCTACTTTCAGAATCCCCCTGTGCCAGATGTCCCCTTGCTCCCCCACTCCAAGCAGTGGGGGTGGCTGACAAGGTAGCCCTCTGAGATTCTGGGAGAAGAAGGGTGGACGGGGGGAAATTGCAAATTTACATGGAAATTGACTATTTGCTTGATACACTCTGGTCATTCAGTCGAATCCTTCAGTTGTCTCACTAGGGGTGGATACATAGAAATGAAAGATCATTTTCTAAATAGGTAGTCTCCTTCTATAAAAAATTTCTTAAGTGGCACAAATGATTTGTGCTCAACTATTAACCTGGGAGTCCTGGTGTGGCACTGTAGGATAAAGCACGGGATCGCAAGATAGGCTTGAACCGCAAGGTTGGCGGTTCAAACCCACTATCTGTTCCTTGGAAACCCTATATAGGGTCACTATGAGTCAGAACCGACTCGACAGCACTTTGCAACAAAAATTAACCTGGTGTGGAGCTGTAAGATAAGCACTGGACTGTTAACCACAATGTTGGTGGTTCAAATCTACCAGCCATTCCTTGAAAACCCTATACGGGACCACTGTGAGTTGGAACTGATTCAACGTCACTTAATGTTACCTTAAAGTTTGGAGGTTAGAATCCACCCAGCAATGCTGTGAGGGAAAGAGCTAGCAATCTGCTTCCATTCTTTCTAGGAGACTGAGAGTTTGAATCACGGCAAAGGTTCTGACATTAATATTGGTTAGTGCCATCAAGTTGTCTCTAACCCATAGCGATGCTGTATATAGGGTTACTGAGGAGCAACTAGTGTGTTTGAACTGCCAACCTTGTGATTCAAGCCAACATTGCAGTCCAGTGCATTAACCTGCAGCGACACACCAGGTTTCTTCCAAGAAAACCTCTGAAGCAGTATTATTCTATAACACCTGGGGTCACCATGTGTCAGAATAGACTCAACACCAATAGCTTTGGTTTGGGTGTTTTGGTGCTGTCCACTGGTGCTGTAGGATAAACACTGGACCACAAGGTCCATTTGAACCACAAAGGTCAGTGGTTCAAACTCACCATCCGCTCCTCGGAAACCCTATACAGGGTTGCTATGAGTCAGAACTGACTTGATGGCACTTAACAACTTTAACATCAGAACCTTTGCCGTGATTCAAACTCTCTGTCTCCTAGAAAGAATGGAAGCAGATTGCTAGCTCTTTCTCCCACAGTGTTGATGGCTGGATTCTAACCTCCAAACTTTAGGGTAACGTTCAGTGACGTCGAGTCAATTTCAACTCACAGTGGTCCTGTATAGGGACCTTTACTGTGATTAAATCTCTAGATCTCCTAAAAAGACCCTTTCCTATGTATGTATTTCTTTTCCTCTGACACACCGTAAGTTTGGGAGGGAGACTAACAATTGTGATATCCCTAGCAACCACTTTCTCTGGGTTTGCCTCCATTCACTCACCCGAGTGAGGCTGGGCCACATGAATTCCTGCACACCTTCTCTTTTTATTCCATGGCCAGAAGTCACTCATTCAATGTTATTTCCGTCATGAAAATAACACTTAGAATAGATGATGAATTTTCATGCTGTTTTTTCCTTTTCTGTTCTTTTTTTTTTCCTCTGCTTTACTTTCTGCATTAAGTTCTGAAGGCTCAGGGTATGTTTTTTCTTCTTTTAATTTTGCTTTGTTCTTGGCTTTAAACTAAGATGTCTATATTGAATGGTCTCAGCTGACAGGATGTTCCCATGCTGATTGCTGTGGGTGGGAGGTCTCATGGAAGGAGCCACCTCCAGGGTGGGAGGGGGTATTGATGAAGGAAGGGATATGTCATATACCTCGAGGCAAAGCTGTCCTTCGGAGAGTCCCAGGTTTGGGGTTGAAGGTGTCCTGGAAGAGTGATTGAGAAGATTCTAGCTACTCTGAAGGTAGAGTGACCTGAACCTAACTAAACCTTGCTGCCTAGAAGGTGCTTATAAATGGGATCCGTTTCTGTGCTCTGAGGAAAAGAAATCCCTGAGGACAAATGGGAGCACAGCTTGGGGAAGCCCTATTGGTTCCTCAGGGGGGCCATCTGTGGGCCATCTTGGGCAGCAGGCCAAGGTCATCTCCCCTGGGAGAAGGCCAAGGTGAGCCAGCACCCACCCTTAGCTGAGAGGCAGTTGCAGCCCCTTCTGGATGGAGCCAAGGCCTGTCTCTGTGGCTGTCTAGCATAGTCACTGAGGTCAGCGTGCAGATACAATGTCACTTCTGTGTCACTCTTCAGTCTCTGGGCCAGATTCTCATTATTTGCTCCATGGGCCATTCTCCCACAATTCACTGATGGTCACTTTCATCTTCCAGGAAGTGTCTATGTCACTTCAGTGAAAGGCAGAGAGCCGAGTCAGGTTACCCAGTAAGCAAGATAAGCACGGGCTGACTTGTGCCTGCTTACTAGTGTGTTGCTTACTTACTAATCTGTAGTGAAAAGCATATGAAAGTGTTCACTACAGATTAGTCAGTAAGCAAGAGTCAATCCATGCTTAATTTGGTGAATGGGCCTTCTGTCCCTGTCAGGGACAGTACATTTAAATAGAGGCTTTGATCGTGTAGGAAGGTGCTGTGCGGTTGGGGGAGAGACAGATGACCAACCACAGGTAGAAGCAGAATCTTTTATGTGATGAGAAACTGAAAGTTGCTCCCTACAGATGAGTAAGCACAAGTAAGCCCATGTTTACCTTGCTTACTGCGTAGTCCACCCCTGGTACATGGGCATGAGAGAAGGTCCTTCCTACCCCTTCCCCATCCTTCCATCCCCTCCACCTCCTGATCATAGTCACTGGCATCATGATCATCGTCAGTCCCTAATAGCTGCAGCCGGAGGGCACCTACTAAGTGCTAGTGTAGTGATTATGAGTCAGGCTGCTAATCCCAAGGTCAGCAATAACACAGAAGAAAGATGAGGCCTTCTGCTCCCATAAAGATTTACAGCCCTGAAACCCTATGCCGGGTCGCTATGAGTCAGAACCGACTCCATGGCACATACGTACTAAGCGTTAGACCAGCAGACCCTTCCTCATTTACTCCGCTCTAAAACTCTATGAGGCTGAACCATTACATGCTTCCTATTAATCCTGCTTTCCAGCTGCTGAACAAAGAGGTGGGGTGAACTCATCTGCCCAACATCAAAGAGTGGAGCCCACAGTCACACCCTGTTTTGTCAAACTCCAGAGAGGGACGTACCCTAGCAGCTGAAGGGCACAAGCTAACCAAGGGCTCAAGGGGCTTGGGAGAGGGGGCACCCCTTCCAGCTGGTGAGGTGAGGGCTCCAGGGACACACAGAGAGATTGCTCCTGAAGGATGAGTACTTTCCTGGACAAAAGAGAGTGATGAGAAACACTCCCCGTTTCAGGGACTGATGTGAGGGTTCAGGGAGCAGCAGATGAGCAAGGCAGAGAGGAAGAGACTGGAGGAGGCTTTTCTTCCCTTTTAATAAAGTAGCAGCTTGGTGTGGCACAGTAGGATCAGCACTAGACTTTGAACTACAAGGTTGGCAGTTCAAACCCACCAACTGCTGCTCAAAAACCTTATAGAGGGTTACTGTGAGTCAGCTGACTTGACAGCACTTAACAACAACAATAAAACAACTGTAATGATCTATGAAATGGGCTCTCCCATTCTTGGGACAAGTTTTTACTATTTCCATAATCCTAAGGTGTCTTGGCTGTACCTGTGGGTTTGTCATTGAGCTGCTAACATCAAGGTCAGCAATTCAAACCTACCGGCTGATCTGCAGGAGAGAGATGCGGCTGTCTGCTCCTGTAAAGGTTTCTAGTCTCAAAACATAGAGAGGGCAGTTCTATTCTATCCTATAGGGTCGCTATGAGATGGAATTGACTCAATAGCAAGGGGTCAAAAGGACAAGAATTAGTTTAGGAATCCTGATGATACTGTGAATTAAGCACTGGGCTGTTAACCACTAGGTCGGCAGTCTGAACCCTCCAGTTACTCCGAGGGAGAAAGATGTAGTCAAATTCTATCAAGAGTTACAGCCTTGGAAACTCTATAGAGCAGTTCTCCTCTGTCCTGTGGGGTGGCTACGAGTCTGAACTAGCTCCACCACAGTGGGCTTGGGTTTTTGGTTATACAGACCTTTGGGGCAGAGTTTGGGAAGTCTACAGACCTTTCTTGTCCTTCGTGTCTAAATCCCGTTCTGTAATCGTTAGCATTTTGGGCCTAAGCCTTTTCAAGCTGGCAGAACAAAAGCGACCACTGAGGCCGAGAAGGAAAGGGCGGAAGAAGGTGACAGCCCAAAACCTATCTGATGGAGACATAAAGCTTCTGGTAAACATCATCCGGGCCTATGACATCCCTGTGAGGAAGCCCACAGCCAGGTGAGTATGCGCTGAGGCAACGGGCTGGATCCCCAGCCATCATACGTGTAGCGTTCTCACGCTGCGCTTTTGACGTCGTTATTTGTTCTGAAGGGCAGGAGGTTCTTGATGAAGGCCAGTTTCAGTCAAAGCCCATTGGTTGTAAGATCCACAGCCAACTCAGCCAACTTTAAACAAAAGAGGTGATTTATTGAGAGCATCTCATAAAACTCAAGGAACAGCTAAACTGGGGGAGAGACTCAGGAATGAAGATGGCTCATCTGAGGCCACAATGTTTGTCTCACTGGCTCCTTCTCTGGGTTTGCTTCATTTATCTCCATGTGATGCAAGTGGTTTCTCTATCCAGAGTTCCACCAACCAGGCATCATCCTTACCTTGTCCTTACCTGGGTCAGGTGTTGATCCATGGTCTAATCATGGCCAGAGAGAAAGGGTGACAAGGGCCAGCCTTCCTCAGAGAAGTGGATGTGAGGTGGATTGTTAGGTGCCATCAAGTCCATACTAACTCACAGCAACCAAAAGAGACCAAACACTGCCCAGTCCTGGGCCAACTTCACAATTGTTGCTACACCTGAGCTCATTGCTACTGCCATTTTGCCAATCTATATCACTAGGGGTCTTCCTCTTTTTTGCCGACCTTCCACTTTACCAAACATGATATCAGTGTCCAGTGACTGGACCATCCTGACAGTAGGTCCAAAATATGAGAGATGACGTCTGGCCATCCTGGTTTCCAAGGAGCACTCTGGCTGCATTTCTTCCAAAATGGATCTGTTTGTTCTTTTGGCAGCCCATGGCACTTACAATATTCTCCTCCAACACTATAACTCAAAAGCATCAATTCTTCTACGGTCTTCCTTATTCACTGTCCAACTTTCACATGCATATGAGGTTACTGAAAATACCATGGCTTGGGTCAGGTGCACCTTAGTTCTCAAGCTGACATCTTTGCTTTTCAACAGTTTGAAGAGGTCTTGTGCAGCAGATTTGCCCAGTGCAATATGTCGTTTGATTGACTGCTGCTTCCATGAGTGTTGATGTTTGAGCCGAGCAAAATGAAGTCTTTGACAACTTCAATCTTTTCTCCATTTATCTTGATGTTATTTATTGGTCCAGTGCTGAGGATTTTTGTTTTCTTTACATTGAGATGTAATCCATACCGAAGGCTGTGATCTTTGATCTTCATCAGTAAGGATTTTAAGTCCTCTTTGCTTTCAGCAAGCAAGGTGTGTCATCTGCAGGTTGTTAACGAGCCCTCCTCCAATCCTGATGCCACATTTTTCTTCATATAATCCAGTTTCTTGGAGTATGTGTTCAGCATACAGCTTGAGTAAGCTTGGTGTAAGAATACAACCCTGGCACACATCTTTTTTAATTTTAAACCAGTCAGTGTTCACTTGTTCTGTTCAAACAACTGCCTCTTGGTCCATGTACAGGTGGATACAGGCTCTGACACATAAGTGCTGGGAGCATAAAGATGTGACTTCCCTTTCGGTTGTTTAGAAAAAATGATTTATGACTCTTATGTGGAAGTTCATTGTAAGGGGGGTACAAAAATCATGTGGGAGCCATGTCTGACTTCCTCTCACCTCACAGAGGGGAAGGAGAATAAAACTCAAAATCAGCCTAAAGTCCATTCCTATGAAGCAGAGGTCAGACATGCCTCCACCCTACAACCTTCTTTCCCCTATTCTGACACCAACCAATCCTCCCTCAACCCTCTCTGCTTCACATCTGAGCTTGATTACCCATTGCAATGGCCCCACACAACTCACAACAGTACTCACAATTATGGAATTTATTAGGGAAGTGAACAGGATCAAACAGGATTTATTAGGGAAGTAAACAGGATCAGGATCAAACCCACCCCAGAATGCAGCAGTTCTCCGGTAAGGAACACCTCTTCTCTGCCAGGCAGTGTGTTCTTTGGCTTCTCAGCCATGTGACCCCCACCTTGGTCTCTGCCTGGGGAAAAGTTACAAAGCTCTTTTAGCCAGGCTGTGAATGCCCAAAAGGCACATTCTGCAAGCCAGTCTCCTGCTCATAGGCACTCGGCTCCACTCAGTCCATGGGCCTAGAGCCGCGAGCTGCTCTGTCTCTTCATTTCTCCACCTCTACCATCACCTCTGCTGTCACGGCATTTCTAGGCTGGGATGTCACACTCCACTCTTGCTCTTCTTTCTTGATCCTGGCAGCATCTATTCCCACTTCTGAGATGGCTGCTTTTAAACCTAACTGGAGGACAAAAGTAGCCAATCCCAGCCTTAGAGTCATACACCTTATTTGCATGACCCCACCCAATCACTTGGTGGGAATTAAGAAGACTTTGGATGGAAAAGTTTTATCAAGTAAATTCAAGGTACCACAGGCCACAACAGAGAATGTTAACCATAGGTAAGATGGGCCTAAGTTTTTTATTTGCTCAGAGAGCAGCGATGGAAGGACCAAGAATTGAAACTCCTATTTGTTTTTATCATTGCCAGTGTAATGTGGGAAACTATCGATGATTCTGTACTCATCAGATTCCAGGCCCTAGGCTAGACTTTTTCACATGCATTATTTCCTTTCTTTTTCATGGTCATGACAATCTACCTATTACAAAGGGAAAAACAGAAATCGAATATAAGCAAGTGGCTGGCTCAAGATTTCTCGATGCTGTCTGATGTCCTAGAAGAGTATGCTTAAGGCTTGAGTGTCGTCTTTCTTCTCTAGGCTCTTCCATTTTGGTTTCTTTCTCTTTTCATACCATTATTTTGCCCTGTTTGTCTTTACTAATTCTTTCACCTATTACAGAAATCAGGTCATCACCAACTATCCCCAATGTTTTCCTGCCTGTACATATTGATTAAACTCTTCTTTTCAACAACATAAATGGTGACTATATTCATGTACCTCCTCAGATGGAATACACCAGAGTCAAATCAGCTACATCTGTGTAATGAGCAAAGAGGGAAGCTCAGTACCGTCAGTCAGAACGAGGACAGGGGCTGACTGCAGGACAGACTGTCAGTTGCTCATATTCAAGTTACAAGTGGAGCTGAAGAAAGTTAAAGCAAGTCCACAAGGGTCAAGTACAACCTTGAGTATAGCCAACCTGAATTTAGAGACCATCTGAAGAATAAGTTGGATACACTGAACACTAATGACTGAAGACCGGAGGAGCTCTGGGATGACATCAAGAAGATCATACATGAAGAAAGCAAAAGGGCCCTTAAAAAACAGGAAAGAAAGACCAAAATGGATGTCAGAAGAGACTCGAAATTTGCTCTTGAATGTAGCGAAGCTAAAGTGAATGGAAGAAATAGTGAAGTAAAAGAGCTGAGCAGAAGATTTCAAAGTATAACTAGAGAAGACAAAGTTAAGAATTATAATGCAATGTGCAAAGACCTGGAATTAGAAAATGAAGATAAAAGAACATGCTTAGAATTTCTCAAGGTGAAAGAACAGAAGAGAAATTCAAGCCTGGAGATGCAAAATGTTGAATCATACAGGAAGCATCACAAGAAGATGGGAGGAATTCAGTCACTGTATCAAAAACACCTCGACAGCATTCAAGCATTTCAGGAGGTAAAATATTGTCAAGAAATCAATGGCATTAAAAGAAGAAGTCCAAGCAGCAGTAAAGGCAGTAGTGAGAAACAGAATACAAGTTGAGACGTTTCAACAAATGCACGCAACACTGGAAGCACTCACTCATCTGTGCCAAGAAATGTGGAAGATAACTATCTGGTCAACCAACTGGAAGAAATCCATGCCAAAGAAAGGTGATCCAACAGAATTTGGAAATTATTGAACAATATAATTCATATCATACTTTTCATGAGGATAATTCAAGAATGGTTGCAGCAGTACATTGATAGGGAGTTGCCAGAAATTCAAGCTGAATTCCTAAGAGTAAGTGGAATAAGGAATATCAATGCTAATGTCAGATGGACATTGGTGAAAAGCAGACTATCAGAAAGATGTTTACCTTGTTTCATTGATGATGCAAAGGCAGTCAACTATATGAATCGTAACCAGTCATGGGTAACAGTGTGAAGAATGGGTGTTCCAGAACACTTCATTGTGCTCCTGAGGAACCTGTATACAGACCAAGAGACAGAACACTCAAACAGAACAAGAGGATACTGAATGACTTAAAATCAGGAAAGGTTTGTGTTGTGGTTGTATGTTTTTACCATACTTACTCAATCTGCATGCTGAGCCATAATCCAAAAATCTGGACTATATGATGAAGAATGAGACATCAAGATTGGAGGAAGACTCATTAACAACCTGCAATATGCAGATGGTACAACCTTGCTTGCTGTAAGTGAAGAGGACTTGACGCACTTACTGATGGTCAAAGACACAACCTTCTATATGGATTACACCTCAACATAAACAAAACACAAGTCCTCACAAATGGACTGATAAGCAACATCATGATAAACCCAGAAAGTTATCGAGGATTTCATGTTACTTGGATCCACAAACAGTGCCCATGAAAGTAGCTGTCAAATTGGACGAATCTATTGCAAAAGACCTCTTTTGGGGGGAAATAGATTACCAGGCCGTTCATTTGAAGAACCTTTGAGTGGACTCCAGCCACCAAAGTTTTGGCTAGTAATCCAATACTTCACCATTCGTTCCACAGTTACAAGGAAGCAAGCTGACCCTACACATGCCAGTGTAGACTCATCAAGAGAGCAGTCTGAGCTCTTTCATTAAATCTGGACAAATTTCTACCCTCCTCCTCCCTTGTTGTTGTTAAGTGTGGTCAAGTCGGTTCCAACACATAGTGACCCTGTATAGGATTTCCAAAGCTGGTGAGCTTGAACCACTGACCTTGCGGTTCAAACGGCTTTGCAGTCTGCCGCATTAACCCACAGCCCCACACCAGGACTCCTGGCACCCAGGCAAACAGGATGTGCACCCTCCGTTTCTGTGTTGCCTTAGACTGTGCCCTTCTCTCTTCCCTAGAATGTATCCCTCTGTTATTTGTTTACATGTCAGTCATCCAGTCCAGTCTGAGCATAAGAGTTGTCTTACTCGTCTTCACGACCTTGGGGTGTAACTCAAGGCTTAACAAAGTAGATACTTAACAAATATATAATAACACACTTGATGGTTTTCCAAAGAGAAAGAGGTTTTCTCTAGCAACTGTTTTGTTAAATGAGTCACTCACATTGTCTCATAGTCTGCCCACCCTTGGCTGTGATAAACTGAGACAGTCTGGTAAGAAAGAATAGCTTGCACTTTGCCCAGGAATGAATACAAACTACTCAGTGAGCCCTAACATTCAGTACCAACATGCAAGTGGAGTGTTCGGATGTGGGGGAAGGTATCTGGGAGAGGCTCTGGGGATGACCTTCATTTGTCCCTTGAAGAACATCAGCTCATTAGGGGACTCTGAGTTTATTCTAATGGTGGTATAATGATTTGGAATGGATAGCAACTTGAAGACTAATCAATAGGAATGAAATGTACATGAAGAAATATTTGAGTTGGCATATTTTTTGTTTTATCATTTTCACCACAATTAACAAGAAAGGATGTTAGCTCAGAAAGGAGAGGAGGGAAATAGCCCACTGAACTCAACCCAAGCTAGGAATCCCTGAGCCTCTGTTTCTCAGGGAGCTTGGCAAGCCTAAGGAAAATCTCTTGCCTATGCTGTGGAGCTCAGGGTCTTCAGAGAGTTCAAGTTTGAAGGAACTGGGAGAGGACCAGAGCTAAATGAAGCGCAGTCTGGTCTGAAAGCAGAGGATTCTGCTACTTGAAAAGGTGGGACTCTCGTGTATGGCAGGAATGAAGAATTCTTACTCAGAGAGCTCCCAGAAGAGAAGACTAGAGGACTGGGAAAACCATGTGGGAGCTGTATCTGACTTCACAAGGAGAAAACAGAACGTCAAAATCAGCCCAAGGCCAATTCCTATGAAGCGGAGGTCAGACATGCTTCCACCCTACAACCTTCTGAACCCTAGTCTGACACCATCCATCCACAACTCTCTCTGCTTCACATCTGGGTTCGGATAACCCATTGCAATGGCCACATAGAACTCCTAACAATACTCACAAGTATGGGACTTATTAGAGAAGTGAACAGGGCTCAAAACCAACTCAGGATGCAGCAGTCTGCTAGTCCGGACCGCCTCTTGTCTGCCATACCCCAGGCATGGTTCACTCTTGTCTTCAGCCTTTCCGCCTGTGGTCCCCTGGCCTCTGCCCTGCTCCGGCAATGGTTACAAAGCTCTTTTAGCCAGTCTGTGAATGCCCAAAGTGCAGTCTCCTGCCCATGGCACTTAGCTTTACATAGTGCATGGGCCTAGAGCCCGCAACTGCTCTATCTCTCCATGCCACCACCTATGCTGTTGCTGCTTTTCTAGGTAAGGATCTCACACTCCACTCATGCTCATTCTTCTGGATGGTCCTGGAATCTTCCATTCCTGCTTCTGAGATGCTCCCTTTAAACCCAGCTAGAAGGCAAAATTAAACAACCCCAGGCGTTAGAGTCTTGCATAGCTTCTTTGCATGGTCCCACACAATCACTTGGTGGGAATGAAAAAGACATTGGCTAGAAAACCCATATCGAGTAAATTCAAGGTACCCCAGGGACTCTTTCCTCTGTCCTCAGTCAGACAAAGCAGACCTGAGGACAGAAGTTGGGAAGACTGAAGTCATCACTAGTTGGCTGAACAGAATCGTATGAAAAGCCTTCTGGGTGAACAAGCATAGGGCGAAAATGTTTATCATCACAGTCATCAGAGATCAAACAACTTGAGGGAAAACCCTCTTCACAATAAATAGACTGTCTTTTCTCTTTTTTGTTGTTTGAGGGGCATTTTTGTTTTAACTCTTTGTTGTGATTTAAATAAAGTATACAGAGCAAAAATGGCTTTCACTATTGCATGTCATGACTTTGATTACAATCTCAATATGTAACAACTGTCTTCCCACTTCTCCGAGGGTTTACTGTGCCCATTCAGCCTTTGTTCCTGTCCCGTCCTTCCTTCTGCCTGGGGAAACACTGCCCTTCTGATCTCATAGGAGTATTCTGGGAAGTGTGTACCTCCCAGGCATTATTGTTCATTCACCTTATAGGCCTATCTGTTGTATAGCACCATAGGGTATGCATTGACCTGCTAACCTTAAGATCAGTGGTTCAACCCCAATAGCCACTCCCAGGGACAAAGATGAGGCTGTCTGCACTTGGAAAGATTTACAGTCTCATCAGAAACCCTGTACGGGGTCCGTCTGAGTCAATCAATGGCAGGGAGTTTTATTGTTTAGCTGAAAGTTGAGTTCAACACCAGGTTTGAGGGGCTTCTAAAGGCCATAGTCTTGGGGATTCCATGAGTCTCGGTGGGCTCGGTAAGTCTTGTCTTTCTGATGATTTTGATTTTTGTTCCCCGTTTTCCTCCTACTCTATATAGGACCCTTTAGTGTGATCAGCTCATCAGCATATTGACTTTTTTTCGTCTGTTTTCTCTCCCAGCAAATTCCACCAGCAGTCAAGGTCTTCACGGACTTTCAGTGAGAAATGTGCTGCTTCCCCTGCCCCCCACAGTCCAACCCACGGTGTGGACTACCCCCTTGGCCAGGTGAAGTATCCAAATGCTGAATTTCAGCTTTGTATTTTACCCATTTTGCTTGCAAGAGTTGTGTATTCCTGGTATGGTGCTGTATGGACCAGAAGGTCAGCAGTTCAAACTTACCAGCTGCTCCTTGGAAACCCTATGCTGGGTCACTATAAGTCAGAACCAACTTGATGGCACTTAACAACATAAACTTCACAGTCTGTTTTCTGTCTCTATTGTCTTTGGAAACATGTTGTTAGGTGCCATTGAGTCGGTTTCAAGTCCTAACGACCCTATGCGCAACAGGATGAAACACTGTCTGGTCCTGGGCCTTCCTACAGTTGCTACATTTGAGTCCATTGCTATTCAGTAAGCATGTTCTGCCTCTGCTAAGAGCAAAGCTATTCAGTTGACCACTATGGACTTTTACAATCTCCTCTTGATTTTTAAGGTTTTAGTGCGTCCTTTCGTCGAAGTTTCTTTTCAACGAACTATTTGCCATACAACTACAGCCGAAGGACCAAACCCCAGCTGGAATGAAGAACTTGAACTTCCCTTCAGGTAGGCATACTTTCCCTCTGTAAAGAGCTATTGGCTGTTCTGGAGAAACGTGATAAACGAGAGGCTCAGAGAGAAGGGGTGAAGGTGGAAGGTTGTAGAGTTAATGATCAGGACCAATGGCCAGTTCTTCTTGTACCTCAGGTGACTCCGTTCAGGTTAAAAAAAAAATTTCCACACTTGGAAAATTCAGGTTCATCTTGGGACACCCCACTGCTCCCCAGACTCTGGTGTCTTACAACCCAAAGCTTCTCATTCCCCTTGCTTCTCCTTTCTTCCTCATCTCTCCAACTGTAGAAGCTTTAGGTAAATGTGACATTCCTAGCTCCCATAAATAACACTTTCTCCATCACTAGCAATACGTTAAGGAGTCCAAGGGGTGCCGTGGGAAGCCCCCCAGGTGGTCTGCTCCTCTAAAGACCTTCCGTCCTGGATACGTTATACAGGGTCGGTGTGAGTTGGAATGGACTCAGTAGCAATGAGTGCCTAGCAAACAACACATTGGAATTTTAAAGTCTGGACCAAAGTATTTTAAATATATATATATACCATATGGATGGTGGTCATGATGCTTGTGCACCATGGATTCAGCTCTGACTCACATAGCAACCCTGTATGGGGTTTGGGTTTGTTGTTGTTGTTAAGTGCCATTGAATCAGTTCTGACTCATAGCAACCCTGTATAGGGTTTCTGAGGAGCGACTGGTGGGTTTGAACCTCCAACTTGGCAACTCAAACTGATCTTACACCTTGCAGTCCAGCGCATTCTCCTGCAACGCCACACCAGCATTTATGAGGCTGTAAATCTTTAAAGGAGTAGAAAGCCTCTTTCTCTCACAGAGTATCTGATAGATTTGAACTGCTGGCCTTGCCTCGAGTTAGCACCCCAACTCTTGACCTACTAAACTAGCAAAGCTATATATGTATAAAGTCATATATATATATATATTTGTTGTTGTCAGGTGC